AATCTGCCCCCCTCCCCCACTGCATCATAATTAAATTGTAACTTGGTACACAGGGGAAAAAATGGGTAGGTCAACCACACTAGAATAAGAATTCCTAACCTGGAAAAAAAATTGACAAGCATCTTTAGTTGAGCTTTTCATAAAGAAAATTTACAATTTGAAAACATACACAAAATTCCCTTAACTGCTGTCTGTCATAAAAAAAGGGGAGGGGGGGGGCAAAACCTACTAAAAAAAAAAACAAACTTAAAAAAAACGCACAGGAAGGTTGAGTGATTATATTGCCGCCAGTTTCGCAATTCTCTTCCTTTCAGGATGTTTCTGCTCAAAATGAGGTTTCAAAAGTAGTATGCAAATATGATGGAACTTCATGAAAATTATATGTTGTAAATGTTTGGAGCATTTTTGTTAAAAACCTACAAAGAAATAGTGAAATTAATATTTATGGAAGGGAAATTTCAGTAACTGCAACCCTGTTTTCTGACCTCGTGACCATGATAAATGAAACAACTTAATGTCAGGGGTAGTAAACTTTTTTTTTATTGTATCAGTAATACGGTTATTTATTAATTTTTTTTTTAATTTCACAAGTGCATGTACAATAAAGTGCAATAACAAATCAGCAATTATTTCATAACAGCATATACAGTGCAACAAGGATAAATCTTATGATTGCTGATTGAGAGGAAAGAAGAGAAAAGAGAGAAAGGGATAGAAAGGGAAGAGAAGCTGTTTATTAACAAATGAGGAAAAAAACAACCTTGTCTGAATAAACATTTACAATGTATTTGATCACTGTTGGTGATTCTAAAAATCAAGCAAAATAGTCAGAGCCTTCTAAGTATAAAAAGCCAAATTTCCCAATCTTTATGAAAATTTTCAAGATTACAGTTTTTGGTAGCTATGTACTTCAAAGTTGAAAGATGGTTTTGATAGGGGTAGTAAACTTAGCTAAAGGTTAAAAAGTTATAAATTCCTGTCAACTTGTGCGCAGTAACAAATGAATTCAAAGTCTGTAAAATGATACGAGAAGTATGGCCCTGCATTGAAACATTTACAATTCCCAGGTTTCTATAATTATGTTCCCCAAACGAAGTTGGGGAACATATTGTTTTTACTCTGTTTCTTATTATGTTCCCCAAACGAAGTTGGGGAACATATTGTTTTTACTCTGTTTCTTATTATTATTAAGGTCTTCCGTCTTCACGGAAGACCTTATAGTGATTCTATTGTTAAGGTCTTCCGTCTTCACGGAAGACCTTATAGTGATTCTATTGTTTCTTATTATTATTCTTTTTTTTTAGACAAAATTTTGTGCAGGCGATTTCTCGTAAACTTTTCGGTGGAATTCAATGAAAATTTCAGGAATAATAGGTCACTATATGAATTTTATATAAAATTCCGTTTGTTGGGAAATTCGCTACCAGTGCCAAGTTATGGGCAATTTCCTGATTTTAAAATGCAATTTTGTCTTCGAATGTTCTCGAAAACGGCTCAAGATATTAACTGGAGACTTATTAGAGATGATACGCCATGACTTATAGATGTGCAATTTTGACTTCGTTTGCGTCGTCAGTACTTCCGGTCGCTACAGGAAGTGAATTCAAAATGTGCACTTTTTCAACTTTTTTTGTTTTTCAATATTTTTCTTTGATATAATTAATGTTAATGGAGACCCTACTGGAAAGGACTAATATATAATTTATTTTAGAATTGATCAATCCACACACTAGATTTTCGCATTTAAAAATCTGAAGCGTGTCCAAGATGGCGGGGCGTCTCCGTGAACTCCGCCATTAAGCAAGTCGGATTCTAGAAGGTCAGCTGAGCGTTTAGATGAACGAAACTTCTACCAGAAAGATTTATGAAATGTTAAGGATTCTTTAGATTGCTACATCACAATTACGTTGCTTTGAGTATTGTTTTAATATGAGTTTTCCTCAAACGTCTATTGAAATTGCTTTTGTCTGCATCTCAAAGTAGAATACATGACTATAAGTGGAAATACGATGACAACAATCTTTTGTTTTGCACCAGGGTAAACTTATCCTAAACCATGGTTATAAGTAATAGCTTTTCAAGAAACTTGCCTGACTTAATATTCAATATGTTTCTGAAGTATTACTTGACTTCTGTTTATTTTTCCACGCAGGCTTGTGACATATTAAATGAATAGAAAAGACAAAAATAAGAAACACATTTTTAAAAATATTGTTTATTAAAGGTTATATAAATATTCTTGTAATAAATGCAAGTTATTGAATATAAATAGTATCACATTCCTTGACCGTCGGAGGGCGAGTGATTTTTTTTTTCAGTGAAACATTCCAGTCTTTTCATGAACGTGTAACTCATCTCCACTTTGTGGGAAAACAGAATACTAAATTCGTGGAAAACACTTTAGTGTTACTTGGCCGTATACGATATTATATTTGTATAATGTGATAAATATACTTTCAAACGCTCGAAATTCCGGTTATAAGAATATACATTTCTAATTTTCATTGAAGCTATCAAATCCATCAAATAGATCAAATATTTCAAAAGAATAGCGTTAAGAACTACTTGTGACGTTTGGCACGAAATAATGTATCGTGACCCAACTTAAGTAGTAGACAAATTGTGACAATAGTGCAGAAATATATAGCATTGGCATGCCTGTTTATGGAGTTGCATGGAATAAAAAGTTGAATACATATCGAAATAAGGAAAGAAAACAGTATCATCTGTTCATCACTAAAAGATTATCTCCTGAAAAGTTACTGTTAAAACTCAAGTAACAGATTCCGATGTGATCATCTTGAGCAAAGTTTAGCAAGCTGGCTGTCATTTTACAATTCCAAACTGAATTTTAAAAAAATGTAATGTATGTTGGAATCAAAATAAGCAATCTCGCGATATTCGAATGTTAAATTTGAAGCGGGTTCCCAAAGGTATAATGGGTACCGCAATGGATTTCCACGTTGGCGACCCGGGTTCGATCCCCCGTGTGTCCGATTTTTAAAATCACTTTTTCAGTTTGATTTTACGTTTTTTTTTCTGAATCGGACGGAAGACCTCTCGTTGCTCGCAACGAGTTTCGTTTGTAGGTATTATTATTATTATTATTCTTTTTTTTTAGACAAAATTTTGTGCAGGCGATTTCTCGTAAACTATTCGGTGGATTTCAATGAAAATTTCAGGAATTATAGGTCATTATATGAATTTTATATAAAATTCCGTTTTTTGGAAAATTCGCTACCAGTGCCAAGTTATGGGCATTTTCCTGATTTTAAAATGCAATTTTGTCTTCGAATGTTCTCGAAAACGGCTCAAGATATTAACTGGAGACTTGTTAGAGATGATAGACCATGAGTTATAGATGTGCAATTTTGACTTCGTTTGCGTCGTCAGTACTTCCGGTCGCTACAGGAAGTGAATTCAAAATGTGCACTTTTTCAACTTTTTTTGTTTTTCAATATTTTTCTTTGATATAATTAATGGTAATTAAGACCCTACTGGAAAGGCCAAATATATAATTTATTTAAGAATTGATCAATCCACACACTAGATATTCGCATTTAAAAATCTGAAGCGTGTCCAAGATGGCGGCGGTCTCCGTAAACTCCGCCATTAAGCAAGTCGGGTTCTAGAAGGTCAGCTGAGCGTTTAGATGAACGAAACTTCTACCAAAAAGATTTATGAAATGTAAAGGATTCTTTAGATTGCTACATCACAATTACGTTGCATTGAGTATAGTTTTAATATGAGGTTTCCTCAAACTTCTATTGAAATTGCTTTTGTCTGCATCTCATAGTAGAATACAACATGACTACAAGTGGAAATACGATGACTACAGTCTTTTGTTTTGCACCAGGGAAAACTTATCCTAAACCATGGTTATAAGTAATAGCTTTTCAAGAAACTTGCCTGACTTAATATTCACTATGCTTCTAAAGTATAACTTGACTTCTGTTTATTTTACCTTGCACGCTTATGACATATTAAATGAATAGAAAAGACAAAAGTAAGAAAAACATTTTTTATAAAAGATTGTTTATTAAAGGTTATATAAATATTCTTGTAATAAATGCAAGTTATTGAACATAAAGAGTATCAGATTCCTTGACCGTCGGAGGGCGAGTGATTTTTTTTTTTCAGTGAAACATTCCAGTCTTTTCATGAACGTGTAACTCATCTCCACTTTGGGGGTAAACAGGATACAAAATTCGTGGAAAATTTTACCGAATTCACAGCTTTAGTGTTACTTGGCCGTATACGATATTATATTTGTATAATGTGATAAATTTACTTTCTAACGCTCGAAATTCCGGTAATAAGAACATACATTTCTAATTTTCATTGAAGCTATCAGATCCATTAAATAGATCAAACATTTCAAAGGAATAGCGTTAAGAACTACTTGTGACCTTTGGCACGAAATAATGTATCCTGACCCGACTTAAGTAGTAGACAAATGGCGACAATAGTGCAGAAATATAACATTGACATGCCTGTATATGGAGTTGCATGGAATAAAAAGTTGAATACATATCGAATAAAGGAAAGAAAACAGTATTATCTGTTCATCACTAATAGATTATCTATCCTAAAAATTACTGTTAAAACTCAAGTAACAATTTCCTATGTGTTCATCTTGAGCAAGTTTGGCGCGAAGATTTATTCGTGGCGTTTGACGCAAAATTATGAATAGTGACCGCCTTTCATTATTCTAAGACAGATGTACATGTACTGTTTCAGAAGTCTGTAAAAGTAGATTTAGAGATGTGGTCCCAATAGCGTAACAGTAAGCACTTTGTATTTTCATGCTGGCGACCCGGGTTCAATCCCCTTTGTTTCCATAAAAAGTTTTATCACTTTTTCAGCTCGATTTTGTGGGTTTTCTTTTTTCAGAATCGGACGGAAGACCTCTCGTTGCTCGCAACGAGTTTCTTTTCTAGTTCTACTCTAAATCCATTCATTACTTTCAAATGAAAGTACAATAAACAACAAACACACCATTTGGACATAGCAACGACACGCAGTAGCTTTATTTGTGCAGTGTACATAACATATGCAAAATATGAAAATCAATTTGTATATACAAGTTTATGTTGGATTGAATAAATCATGATAAAATTTAAACTTTATCGTGCTCTACGTGTCGTCCTAAACTGGTATTTAAACCACTATTCACCTCTTATATAGCCTTGCTAACGAGACCGGTTCTAAAGAACCACGTGATATACACCAGGTATTCGAATGAAAACCTTGTAATTCCGAAAAAGTAATTCATTATCACACCAAGTAGAAATTGATTTCTGTCTAATTCGTTCCTCAAACGAAAGAAATCATATTTCTACTCTAAATCCATTCATTACTTTCAAATGAAAGTACAATAAACAACAAACACACCATTTGGACATAGCAACGACACGCAGTAGCTCTAAATACAAAGAACGGGAAAATGTAAGTATAAAATAATTGATTTTAAATTAAATCCAACAAAATTCATTTAAATCATAAATCATTCAATATTTCAAACAATAAATACATAAAATTTTACGGAAATTTTCCAATAAAATGTTTTGAAAACAATTAATCACTACAAAAAAAAAAATACATGTATTCACTCCATTACTTTTATACAAACAAACAACAACATTCGATGCATGACAGCCAGCCGTGCGTGCGCTGGACGCCGTATTTTATTAACAGTACATCAATATACATATATAGAACACAGGACATTGTGTATGAGAAATAAAAACATCAAAATCCCCCAAAACTGCTGCATCTATTATAATTGTAAAATATTCTTTGTGATAAACATGAAAAGCATCAGGGCCGGCCAGGAAAAACTAGAGATAAAAATAATTTTTAAAAAACTCTAGAAACCTGTGTCCGTTGCCAAGTGCCGCTGGATGCAAAAAATGTTGCGACGGACCTCACAACCTACCAATAAAACCCTAAGAAAAAAAATCAAATATATGTATATAAATATATTCACTTATACCCTTTACACATAAATTTAAAAAAAAATAGCTGTTGCTCGCTTAAGTCGGCGGCTAGAAGTGACCAACCTTTAAAAACCAGTTCTCTACTACACCTCAAAATCAATTTCTATTGGTCACTCTCTGTACTGACCAATCCACACAACATGCTTATAAACATCTTGTCATTAATACAACATTTTCCCGCTATACTAGCGAAACGCGGGAAAATATCAATACATGTATATCCATCCTAAAAAAATTCAATACACCGCCGTCTTTTGAAAATCCATAACGCAATTCACCATGTGAGTCTGATTGTAAAAGTCTTAATGTTATGCACACATCCTATCCATACATCGATGAATGCTTGCTGCACTTGAGTTTTGAGTATAGTTTCAAGTCAAATTCAACGCATACCATGCGATTTATCGTGAAGTCCCAGGGAAGAAGACTTCAAATATATCAAATGAATTCGACACAGTTATACATAGAAGTATATTCATCATCCAATATCAAAATAGCACAAAATACACATTCCTCTGAAATATCTTGAATCCCATCTCAATTCCTTGGATATGTGTCTCTTTGAAACTCTGTCATTATTGGTACACCGATTAATGCCTCATGGTGCTTGAATTAAACGTAAGAAGAATATAACCAATAATACCTGGAAGAACAAATTTGATGTTAGAAAACTGATAGATACATATATCTTGTAACTCTAATATTTTAGTAAATATGTATAGGATCTCTTTTTCTCTCTCTCTTAATCTATATATAAAAAAAATCAAAGTCATCATCATTGTGGCTAGCAAAACATGCATACTATCATAAAGTGATAAAATGAATCAAAATTCCACCATTAAGTTCAAAATTTATGAATTGCACTAATAATTTTTTTTTTTTTTTTTTTTTAATTAAGAAAAATATGAATGTGTTTGTATAAACATCCATTTGATAATCAAGTTATGATAACCTTATTTTCATCAGAATAATCAACATTTACTTTACTATTTGTAGAAATACTTCCTACTGAAAACAATCTCACCAAATGGCATCAAAACAAATGTGGTTGGATAAACATCCATAAAATCATTTTATGATATAATTTATCAAAAAGTTCAAATTCCAATAAAATTTTACTTTATTTTCATCAGAATTATCAACCTTTACTTTTACTACTTATGTAGAAATACTTTCTACACAAACAAATCTCGCCAAATGGCATCACCACAAATGTGGTTGGATACAAATCCAAACATTCATTTTATGATATAATTTATCAAGAAGTTCAAATTCCAATTAAATTTTACTTTATTTTCATCAAAATTATCAACCTTTACTTTACTACTTATGCAGAAAAACTTTCTACATAAACAAATCTCGCCAAATGGCATCACCACAAATGTGGTTGGATACAAATCCATACATTCATTTTATGATATAATTTATCAAAAAGTTCAAATTCCAATTAAATTTTACTTTATTTTCATCAGAATTATCAACTTTTACTGTACTTTATATGTAGAAATACTTTCTACTTTAACCAACTCGCCAAATGGCATCACCACAATACGGTTCAAAAAACATCCATAAATTCATACTATGTGAAAAATTTATCAAAATACTTCAAGTTCCAATCAAATTTTTCTTTGATTTCATGAAAATTATAAACTTTTACTTTAATATATACCAAGAAACACTTTCTACAGAAACCAGTCTTACTAATTGGCTTCATCACATATGTGGTTGGACAAACATCCATAAATTCAAACTCGTATAATAAAGAAGCCACTTTCTACTTTAACCAACTCGCCAAATGGCAACACCACAAATGTAGTTGGATAAACATCTATAACATAACATCATTTTATGATAAAATGTGCAAAGCTTTCGAATCCAATCAATTTCTATTTCATAGTATCAGCAATATAATGAAAACAATCTTTAATAAATTGCCAAATAACAAAACCATATAAGTGGTTGGAAAACATTCATAAAAACATGATATGCTAAATTGTGCCAAAGTTATTCAAATTCAAACCCAACTCAATATTATTTCAAACAGAAATATTAATTTTCATTTGACTATTTTTGTACTTCTCATTGTCTACTGAAATCAATCCCGCCAAAAACCAAACACCACAGATGCGTTATGCTAAACATCCATAAAATATTTTATGCTAAGCTGGGTTAGAGTTGGAATTCCCCTCAAATTCTATTTTTGTTTTAAATTAAAAAATAACAGCTTTTAAATAGCTACAGTATTATAGAAATCACTTTCCACTGAAAACTAATTTCAATAAAAGTAAATACTCCAAAATTGTTGCCAATTAATAAACATTCATTAAATCATTTCATTATAAAATGAAATATATCAACGTTATCAAAATTCAAATCTTCCAAACACTACCAAACACGAAAATTGTGCAAAACAGCTCATGAAATTAATATTCAGAAAAAATTTAATTCAATTTTGGTGAATCATTTTTAAAATTAGAATTCATTGACAAAATTTCCTTTTTACTCGAAAATCAAAACCGACAAAAATTCAGTTTCTGTTATCAAAACTTTTTAGAATTGAAACTAAATACTTAGATCTCTTTTTCTAGATAACTCAATCAAGCCAATTACAACACTGCAAATACTGCAGAATTATCATTCCTATAAATATTTTATACCATCTTGATCTTTTTTTTTTTTTTTTTTTTTAAATTAATACTCAATTGATAAATTTCAATTCTAAGTAGATAATTCAAATGAGACCTTAGTTTAACTACAATGAAAATCAAAATGCAAATATTCTAAACCTTTAATTCTCTTTCGCAAAGCCGTACCTGTCCTGCATTAATCATAAGACAAGTAGAACTCGTTTTCTTCTATAAAATTTATATGTCATTAATACATATACTTGGTTAATAGATACCAAACAAAAATTATCTATGCCCCATACTCTACTATAAGGATTCATGATTGAATGATCTACTAAAATAAATCGAAAAACGAATTATTATACCCAAAGATCAGAATATGAAATGCTTCTCTTTTCCATTGTGATGGAGTCCGCATTAAATTTAACTTTCAATTGGCATAAAACGCAAAGAAAAAATCTACCGTACTTCTCTGGAGATCTTAAAATCACCTTCTTCATTATACTCATCGTGATACCAACCCCAACATGTAACCACCTGAAACATAAGAATATACTGTTTTCTCTTCAACATATCTAAAACTTTTCATTTTAGTAGCACATTTGACAAAATGGCAAGAAACTGAAATTGAAAAATAAATTCAAACAATTTTAATTTATCGATATTTTCTATACTCAGGAAATGTCCATGTTATAATGCTGATGCATTTAGTACGTTTTAAAATGATAAGCAAATATATTTAATTGGATATAAGTGCAAATATAATATCTTATGATTCTATACTTGTATTAATTGAAAAATAAAATAAATTAAAGTAACGTATTTGTTTTGATTTCAGAAACACCAGTTTTCTTCCTTTAACAAATCCATCTTTCTACAAAACAAATTATCTATTTCTGGAAATAACTTCTATTATCATATACTGACTAGAATTAACGAATCTCATAATTTAATACAATCATGTATTTGTTTTCAAATTCTCTCTATTACAAACCTTGTTATCACTAATTTATTACTTATTCAAAAATTGATCAATTGTAATCTCAAATGAATACTTATCTTATAAAAACAAGATCTAAGATGGCTTTTCTTTGATGACCTCGTTTTCCACACTGTCAAATCTCTCTCCAACTCTATTTTCTGTGATTTCATATCATCTACAATGGCTAAACATGTCGATGAACCACGCCCTACGCCGCTTCGTTCTGCATCTGAGATTTAAACTTTATCGTGCTCTACGTGTCGTCCTAAACTGGTATTTAAACCACTATTCACCTCTTATATAGCCTTGCTAACGAGACCGGTTCTAAAGAACCACGTGATATACACCAGGTATTCGAATGAAAACCTTGTAATTCCGAAAAAGTAATTCATTATCACACCAAGTAGAAATTGATTTCTGTCTAATTCGTTCCTCAAACGAAAGAAATCATATTTATTCTTCTTATTATTTTTCTTCTTCCTGGGAAAATTTTGTCCACGAGTGATCTTGTAAACTACACATCCGACTTAGGTGAAACCTTTTTAGGGTCAGTAGGCATGTTATGTAGAGTTGCCGAACGAAGGTCATTTTGCGCGCACGTGCTTGCAAGAGCGCGCACGTGCAACACGTGAAATGACCAATATAATGGATATTGCCGTAACTTTTCTATTTTTTGATGAAATTTTTTAAAACTCATAATGTAAGGATACATTAGTAGTACAGACAAGATAGCATGGTCAAAATAGCAAGATCTCACGCGCATGCACGTGCGCTTCGCTCTGATTGGCTGAAACTAATGTCTCAATATCTTTCTTGTTTCTTGTCATAATCCTTTGAAATTTTGAACATAGTCCTATATTATGAAGATCTACCGCAAGATATATAAGAATTTTCATGAAAGCATGCGCATGTGCGCGTGCTGCAAGCTGATTGGCTGAAACTTTAAAAGGCAATATCTCCTTTGTTTTTTGACGAAATTGTTTGAAATTTAAAATATAGTCATGCATTAGGATATCCTACAAAATGATATTAAAAAAATCATGAAATAACGCGCATGCACGTGTGCTGCAATCTGATTGGCTGAAACTTTAAATGGCTATAACTCCCTTGTTTTTAAACCAAACAGGATGGGATTTAGAACATAGATAGATGTAAGGGACTCCTACAAGAAGGTATGATCATCATGCACGTGCACGCACATGCGTGCATTTGAAACGAGTATATTTAAAAATACACTTGAATGAGTGATTTTTATTACTTTTGGACTGAATGCTTTAATATATAGTACAAGTATATTAAAATATATAAATAGTGTAGACAAGATGATATGGTCATAACGCACATGCATTCAGATGCGCTTGGGTGCAATGCTAAAAATTGAATATAATTGGTATCCTTCTGGGAAAACGTTGCTAAAGTCAAAAATGCACAGAGTTTGTCTTATTTAATGAAGCTTACAGGGAATATGGCACCGAAAGGGAGTTGGGGAGCGTTTGGGGAACATCTGTAACGGTTCCCGTTACAATTAGCACTAGTTATTATTATTCTTATTCTTATTATTATTTTTCTTCCTGGGAAAATTTTGTCCGCGAGTGATCTTGTAAACTACACATCCGACTTAGGTGAAACCTTTTTAGGGTAAGTAGGCATGTTATGTAGATTTGCGGAATCAAGGTCATTTTGCGCGCACGTGCTTGCAAGAGCGCGCACGTGCAAAACTTAAAATGACCAATATATAATGGATATAACCGTAACTTCTCTATTTTGTGACGAAATGTTTTGAAACTTATAATGTAAGGATATATTAGTAGTATGCACAAGATGACATGGTCAAAATAGCAAGATCGCACGCGCATGCACGTGTGCTTCGCTCTGATTGGCTGCAACTAAAGTCTCAATATCTTTTTTGTTTTTTGATAAAATCATTTGAAATTTTGAACTTAGTCATACATTAGGGAGATCTACAGCCTGTAATATAAGATTTTTCATGAAAGCATGTGCATGCACATGTGCTTGCAAGAGCTCGCACGTGCAACACGAGAAATGTCCAATATAATTGATACAGACGTAACTATTAAAATTATTGATGAAATGCTTTGAAACTCATTTTATAAGTATATATTAGTAGTATGCACAAGATGACATGGTCAAAATAGCAAGATCGCACGCGCATGCACGTGTGCTTCGCTCTGATTGGCTGAAACTAAAGTCTCAATATTTTTCTTGTTTCTTGTCATAATCCTTTGAAATTTTTAACATAAACCTTCATTATGAAGTTCTACAGCATGATATATAAGAATTTTCATGAAAGCATGCGCATGACCGCGTCCTGAAATCTGATTGGCTGACACTTTAAATGGCTATATCTACTTTGTTTTTTGACGAAATGCTTTGAAATTTAAAACATTGTCATGCATTAGGACATCCTACAATATGATATAGAAAAAAAATCATTAAATCACGCGCATGGACGTGTGCTGCAATCTGATTGGCTTAAACTTGAAATGGCTATAACTCCCTTGTTTTTCAACCAAACAGGATGGGATTTAGAATATAGATAGATGTAAGGGACTCCTACAAGAAGGTATGGTCATCATGCACGTGCACGGACGTGCGTGCATTTGGAACGAGTGAAATGAAAAATACACTTGAAAGTGATTTTTCATACTTTTGGACTGAATGCTTTAATAAATTGTATATTAAAATATGTAGATAGTGTAGACAAGATGATATGATCATAACGGACATGCATTCACATGCGCACGGGTGCAATGCTAAAATTTGAATATAATTGGTATCCTTCTGAGAAAACGTTGTTAAAGTCAAAATGCACAGAGTTTGTCTTATTTAATGAAGCTTACAGGGAATATGGCACCAAAAAGGAGTTGGGGAGCGTTTGGGGAACATCTGTAACGGTCCCCGTTACAATTAGCACTAGTTTGTGATACGATATGACGTTAACATATCTTAAGGTCATGGGCATGTACATTGATTTACTAAAGTTTGAAGGTTAAAAATTTAAGGATAAACACCAGTTCACAATGTTACTGTCCTTCGACTTGTGACCTTGAATCAAAACCTTGACAAACCTTAAAGTCATAGATACCGAAATGCTAGTACCAACATGTAATACAGTTATTATATAAAGATTCCCAAGTAAAGAACCTTACACGTTTTACTATTTTGAGGCTTGGAATATGACCATGCATGATTCAAGTTTTTGACATATCTTTCGGTCATTGGATACCACATTAAGAATTCTTTTCAGTGAACAGTCCGAGCGATCTACATGTAGCTAAGGCACAATAATGTGAATGTAAGACATGAAGTCATCCCAGAGTCCCGTAATTTCAAAAATAAGTAATGGTACGTGTTGCTATGAAATATGGAATGGGATTATTAAAATTCTTGAAAGTTTGTCGTTAAATTTTAGGGTCTGAAACAAATTTAAAAGTATGATTAAATCATAGTTGTGAATATCAATTTATTAATGTATGTTTTTATTTTGATGTATTTAGAACCTAAGTTTCATGATCAAAATTCCACACCGACTTCATTTTCACTGGATAAGGGTCTAAATTCAACACTTTGATCTCAAAATTCAGTGTTGAAAAAGACCTTTTTTCATCCAAGGTGTGGGAAATGATTACAAAGCAATAGTTATATGCAGTGCCATGTGTTTGCAAAGTACTTTTGATCTATGCTGAAACAAAAGGTTTAAGGTTGGACTTAGTATTGCTGCATTTAATGATCTAAATATAATTTTCGAAATAAAAATTTCCCTCATATAAGTACTTGTTCCTTAAATAAGACATCACGTGTCAATTGATTTTCTTACTTAACTAAATAGTGACATTAGATCACTAGGATTACATAAACCACATTGTCTAATTACCTGAATAATCGACAGGATCAAAAAAATAAAAAATCTGTTAAGACAAATAAATCTTGATAATATCCCCATTTTTATACTCGTTAATATGTTAAAAGCTGTAACTAACGAGATCAGCTCCAGTAATTATAAAATCGGATACCCTTTCTTCTGTTTCCACTAATTAAATTAAACCCTGAGGCACCCGTGACTTTCATAATAAGATAGCTAAATACCTCTTTTTAAGTACATTATACTACTTTTTTTTCGTTTGGAAAATGTTCATTGAGAGGAAAAGTTAACAATAGGGCTCAGAAAGAGGGACTAAAATATAGACTGAGTATTTTACACAAATAAATATTGCACAATATTGCACAATATGGCCCCCTTCCAGGGGCAGGGGTAGGTCAACAACTTTGGAATAAAAAACTGCCGTTGTGGAAGGAGTGAATGGCCTCTAATTCATCCGCTGATGCTTCAGTTATTTGCAATTATCTCCCCTTAGAAAAGGACGTTGTCTTTATTTGAGCAAACTTAAAAAACCCTTTACCCAAGGATACTCTGTGCCAAGATTGGTTGAAATTGACCTAGTGGTTCTATAGAAGAAGATGAAGTTCTGAAAAATTAAGGACGACGACAACAACAACGACACTTGAGCCTTCGGCGCAGGAGAGCTAAGATTGTTGTTATGACCATAGTTTTGTTTTCAATTAATGTTACAACAATTTTAGATTTTTTTGGCAAGGAGATACATATACGTTACTCTACTGCTGAACTATGTCAGAGTTTATACCTATTTGCCATTATTTAATGGTATTCACATATGTGGTACTTTTTTGCTGAATATTGAGTTGATCTTGTCTCAATGTCATGATTAGGGGACTGCATGAACTTTTATAGGGATGACAGATTGA